GAAATTAGTTAAAAGATTTAATTTGGTCAAGGTCATTTATTTNTTCAGCCTGAAAAAATGTGCACTCCATATCGTAAAAGAGTTTCAGAAATAAAAACATAATTTAAGTGGTCATTTACTTAGCTTTCAAATTCATTATATAACCCNAACGAGTTCTTTCTCTTTCATGCATAAACAATAAAAAATTCAAAACTAAAAATGGAGCAAAATNCTCAACCCATCAACAAAAAAAATCCTCACAAGTTTGATCTAAACAAACCCTGTGAAGAGCAGCTAGTTCAAGAACAAGTAGAAAAAAACTTAGAACGTATTCGATCGAACAGCAAAGCAAGAGAAGAAAGTAGATTGGAAATGTTGAAGATTTTGCTGCCTTCTTATATTGAAGTTTGAGTATATAGTAATTCAATTAATATTTGTCATTTTTTGTTTTCCATAAACTGCATTAAGTTAATAATCTGTTTCTATTTTCTTTCTTTTTTTGTGGGTAGAGAAAATTGCGTTGATAAGTGTTGCCNTCATAGTGAAGGAAGATTCTCCCATATGGATTTTTTTTTCCAGCATTTAGTTGATAAATTAAGATTTTTGGATAATACTGATAAAANTATAAGTTCCTAATAAAACGTTCAACAACAAAAATGTTGATANCAATCCTAATAGACCAAATCCTCTCCACTACTATGACGATCTAAAAACGTTCAACACATGTTCGAGCAACGTAGCATCACAACTTAGTTGTTTCGGAAGNAGACCAATTCTTTCCAATGTATGCTTCTTCGTATGTGGTATTTTGTACTTGTTTGATCCTCCAACTTTCATGATCTCTAGCATACATGATTGAAGAGTCAAAAAAATATGGTTTACNTTTTCCGTNGGATAAATTTCAAACGATTCTTCCACCGCACGAATAAGNTCTTCTACCGTTTTAGGACATGCCTTATGTTGGAGCGATTGAATGGCATTAAAAAATCCAAGATCCAAAATGTTTAGATCCGGCGAGTTTGGCGGTTGTGACATCAATTGAATATGAAAGCCATCTTTNGACGCTGCTTCTTGAAAATCTTTGTCCGAAGCTTCGACATGTGTTCTTGCATTGTCTTGTTGAATAAAAATAGTCTTTCCCCAATCTTCTCTTGGCCACTTTTCACGGATTGCCGGAAGAACTTTTTCGATCAAACATGCTTTTATATCTTCTCTCTTAACAGAAGTTGATGCTTTTACTTCTAAAGTTCCGGCAGCTCTATTCTTACTTCGTCTCTTAGCTGGTTGCATAGTAACAAAAGGAAATATCCCAATCTTTCCAGAAAATACTTCTTTTCCTTCATCATCAAATCTTGGACGAGCCATCGCAGCTAGAAACATTACTTTCCCAATGTAATTCTTGCTTTGACATGTACGATGTGGATCATCTTCAATCGGAAGCAGATAATATTTCTCGGTCTTCTTCGTCATATAAAANCNCTTTTCATCGATATGCACAATATTGTACATATCAACAAATTTTGGTTCATGAGGTAAAGTATTCTTATCTAGCATAGAAATGCAAAATTGTAGTCTACCTTTCATATTTGCTTCCTTCAAAAGTGGTTTGATGGCGTTGGAATGACAT